GACGGCAGACGAGCGAACCTCGAGCACGCTGGGCAGGATCGGCGCGGGCGAGCCGCGCTTTTCTCTCGCGAGGCTGCGACTGAACCGAGGACCTGAGAAGGGCGCGCCCGGGCTGTAATAGTGAAGGCTGGCAGGGGCACCAGAAAGGGGGGCGGGGCAGAGGGAACGGTTCAGGAGGGAGGGTCGTCGAGGGCTGCCCTGGCTCTGCGAGGGGCACCCGGCGAAAGCGAACGCTGTAGCCTCGCCAGGACAGCGAATGGGTGTGGCTTGGGAATCGCTTCGGGCTTCCACGGCCTCACGGGCTCCTCCCTCTGCTTCCGCTCTCCCAATCCTGGCTCCCACTCATGCCTACTCCTCCCCGCCTCCTCCTCCTCCTCCTCCTCCTCCTCCTCCTCCTCCTCCTCCTCCTCCTCCTCTTCCTCCTCCTCCTCAGCATCACCATCAGCAGCAACCGCAACCTCATCATCCTCATCCTCATCCTCCTCCTCCTCATCATCATCAGCATCATCAGCATCATCAGAACCGTCATCAGCAGCAGCATGCATCCGCATCATCATCATCATCATCATCATCATCATCATCATCATCATCATCATCATCATCATCATCATCAGCATCAGCATCAGCATCAGCATCAGCATCATCATCATCATCATCATCATCATCATCATCATCAGAATCATCATCAGCATCATCATCATCATCAGCATCATCATCATCATCGTCATCGTCATCGTCATCATCGTCAGCAGCAGCAGCATCAGCAACATCAGCATCATAATCATAATCAGCAACAGCAACAACAACAACAACAACAGCAACAACAACAACAACATCAGCATCATCAGCATCATCATCGTCATCATCAGCATCATCATCATCCGGATCAGCATCAGCAGCATCATCAGCATCATCAGCATCATCATCACCAGTATCAGCATCATCATCATCATCACCATCAACATCATAATCGTCATCAACATTAGCATCAGCATCAACATCATCATCATCATCATCAGCATCGTCATCATTGTCATCAGCCTCCTCCTCCTCATCAGCATCATCATAATGATCAGCAACATCAGCATCGTCATCATAAGCATCAGCAGCAGCATCCTCAGCATCATCAGAATCACCATCATCATCATCATCACCAGCAGCAGCAGCATCACCATCAGCCTTACCAGCGTAATCATCATCAGCATCATCATCGAATAAGTAACGGCATCATCAGCAACAGCAACAGCATCACCATCGTAAACATGATCATCATCATTGTCATCGTCATCAGACTCAGCATCAGCAACATCTTCATCATCGTCATCATCGTCATCAGAATCATCAGAATCATCAGAATCATCATCAGCAGCAGCATCATCAGCATCAGTATCATCAGCCTCACCCTCTTCTTCAAAATCATCATCATCAGCAGCATTAGCAGCGTCAGCATCATCACCATCATCACCATCATCATCGTCGTCGTCATCGTCATCGTCATCGTCATCGTCATCGTCGTCACCATCAGCACAATCAGCAGCAACAGCAGCGGTATAATCATCATCATCGTCATCATCATCGTCAGCAGCAGCTGCAGTATCATCATCAGCAGCAGCATCATCATCATGAGCCTGATCGTCGTCGTCATCAGCATCATTATCATCAGAATCATCATCATCATCAGCATCAGCAGCCTCATCATCATCGTCGTCATCCTCGTCATCACCAGCATCATCTTCATCATCGTCATCGTCATCGTCATCGTCATCGTCATCGTCATCGCCATCATCGCCATCATCGACATCACCACCACCACCATCCTCATCACCATTACCATCCATCGTATGTTCCTCCATCCTCTGTCCAGCTTAAGCACCAGTTGTCGTCGTCGTAATCGCCATTATCGCCATTATCGCCATCACCACCAGCATCATCAGTATCATCGGCATCATCGCCACCACCATGACCACCACCATCTCTATACGCATCATCATCATCATCATCATCATCATCATCAGCATCATCATCATCATCATCATCATCATCATCATCAGCATCATCATCATCATCATCGTCATCATCATCATCATCATCAACATCATCATCATCATCATCATCATCATCATCATCATCCATCCCGTCATCCCTCCATTCATTCCTTCATCCCTCCCTTCCTTCCTCCTACGCATTGCCCTCCACCATCCTGATCATGCTTCTCCTCCTCCTCTCTCTCCTCCTCCACCTCCTCTTCCTCCTCCTCCTCTTCCTCCCCTCCTCCTCTTCCTCCTCCTCCTCCTCCTCCTCCTGCTCCTCCTCCTCCTCTCTTATTATCATCTCC